GTACTCGAGAGACCTGGGCGTAGGTGGAAGCTAAATTTGCAAACAAGTACGAAATATCTTCCTAAAATTTCAGCTCCCAAGCTCTCCTGGTCCATAAGTTGAAAAATCTGAACAAAAACACACATACGGTCTCGATATGTGCGCTTTATGCTGCAATAATTGCAGCACAAAATGCATAAAAATTAGAATAGGAAAATCGGCGATATTAAGGTGCACAATAACACCTCAGACACACGATTAACAACATTTTCTCTCGCATTTCACGAGATAATTACGCTAAAGGTAAAAGCTCGCAAAGTACTAATTCAGTGAACTGACTGCATTCCAGTCACACATTACAGCTTCCGAATCAGATAACGAACTTGAAGAAAAATTGCTTTTCAAAAATTCTCTGGAACCTCCAGCCGCTGGATCGCTATCACTGAAATTGAGTGAAATGTTGGCCATTGGCTCGCCAGATGGCGCCGCCGAAGGCCTCCTCTGCGCATCGTAAAACATCATCGAACCACCCCAATTGCCTAAAAAAACAGAACACAGTAAGCTGCTAAGAAACTAAGCCGTGATCGCATTCACAAAAGTGTTTCTTCATCAAAATGAAATCATATTAATAAAAGTGATGAGGTGGTTGAGAATGACGAGACGGCCAATTCGCTATTTCACTCATTTACAACCGGAGAGGGCGAAGATCGGAGGCTTGAAGAAGGAAAGCGAAAAAATAAGCGTCACAAAATTTTAATAAAAACTGGAAAAATTTTTCGCCAAAGCAGGAAGTTTCAATTGGTTTGAAAATGCTTGAACCATGCTACTTCAAGAATCAAGGCACTGGGAACAGAAATGTAAGAAAAGACGTCCTAAATAACAGCATGAAAATGAGCTAGGCAATGGCTGAGCAGTGTTGAAATCGGGCTGGGTGATGGAGGCCACACAAAATGCTACAAAGTGTCAAAAAAGCCAGAATGTACCATGCTGGAAGTCGGCGTTCACTTGTCCAGAGGATGACATGATCCTTGTTTGCAGCTCGGCTTCTACTTGTTGGTAATCCTTTGCAGACATTGGTCTCCCCATTGCATAGCGTGTTTCCTCTTAAAAATAAGATTTAAAAAACCCTTCACAAAACAGAAAATCTGAAAGAAAGATAAAGGCACTCTCGCACTGATTTTACTGCATGCAAAACTGTGAAATTTTCGATGTTTATCATCCTCACAGTTATTGATTGGAAATTGCATTTTGCGAAGGTGCAAAGCTGGCAAAACCGAGGAATTACTTTATCAGATTTCCTTTTAATGATGCGTTTTTCAATCAACAGCTTTTGAGGGCAGGGCGAAGTGGGGGCGAGAGCGTGTACGGAGATAATAAGGCTTCGGTTTCCGCAGCATTCCACAGGAAAAAAAACCTCTTATTTATATTTCGAACAGAAAAATTCTTATCCCTAGTAAATTTTCTGGTTAAAACATTGAGAAAAAAGTTGTACAAACCGAGATTAAACGAATTTCTCGTGAAAGCATCAAAGAAGGTTTTGAGAATACACAACTGCGACGGTGTTAAAAATACACAAAGACTGTCGACACTGATATTAATTTCCTAAAATACGTAGAAATGAAAAGCGCAAAGGTAAAGGAGTATAAGCACCAGTATGATGCTAAAAAATACAAGCCTTTTCCGATGACAGTGTATCCCCATGTAGAGAAATTTCATTGTTACGAACTCGAACAATAACAGTGTCCACTCCACCGCTCAGCGATGCTAACAATACCGGATTTGATTCTAACCTGAAATTCCAGAACAATCCCATCATTCCGGCTAGTAGTTGCGGTGTGAATCATTTCTCACTTGTACAATCTATTGCAAATAGGTATAACTGTTCAGCCTTATGTTGATTTGAGAACGGGACATTTTCTTCACCCATTTGTTCAACTGGATATTCCTCTCTAAATCTGAAGCCTTATTTCTTTCACATACGGCACAATCTCATTCCAGAAGTTCTGTAACGAACTGTGTCCTCTCTGATAATCACAAGCGAATTTAAACAGATTGATCCGCGGACACCACTCACTAATATTCACTGCTGGCAAAGCAAACAACATTCCCTGGTCATCGAATTCTACTTTTCTGTTCAATTACAATGATATTCTGCACGCTGCTCAAATGACAGAGAGTCTGATTGCTTATACAGTCATGAACAAATACGCTAGGCATCTTCCGCTCCATCGATAGTTCCGTCATAATCATCATTACTTTGTTCTTCAACTCCCTTAGTGCACGCGTTTCGTGTCCTTACATTATTGCCTTTAGCACCGTCGTACTCGAAAAAAATGTTCGGCCCTTCTGTTTTGACTGTTTGAGGAGAGCGACGATTATTTCGAACTTACGCCAACCGGTTGCCCTTCTGTGTGCATTTTCCGGCCGGAAAATGTGGTGTATGTTCATTTTCTGACTAAAACAGACATGGCTGTCAACTTTTTCCAAGTCAACACCAACTGCAATGTTGCCGTAAGCATCCAGCATTCTGCGTCACCTTCGTCTTCGATTCTGAGTATGTATTTGGGAGAACAGACAAACACTGCGTCCAATTAAGTTAAAAGTTTTCTAGAAGTCGATAAATGACACAAAAAGCAAGAGCTAGTATTCTCTAAATCACTTCGTCATTGCGCTACACCGAGAACATGATCGATAACAGAAAAGCAGTTAAAGGATCCGGCCCAAGTCTTTATCAGAAATTTCTTCAAAACATCATTTATAAGGGGAAAAAAGGAAGTGTAACTGCAAACACATGGAAAAAAACTTGCGCTATATTAGTAGAGCTTAAAAACGAGGAGGCTGAAGAAGGCAGCTCATCATCCATGCAATTCTGATGCGAGTAACATGACTCATATATTGTTGAAGCAGTTGTCGAATGCATCGAATATGAAACACCACTGCTCTTGTCCCACTGCTCCGGCGATGAATTCGATGAAGCTGGCGGCTTCTGAAAGGATCATAGATCAAATTTAGTACTGCTAGCTTAAAAATTCAGCCCAGTGAGTGACTGATCGGCGACTGTTTTGTGTCATCAATACAACTGGTGTTATCTTCGCACGGGTCCAGAACGGCGACCCACACACTGTCATTTTTTCTACTTTCATTTTTGTTCTAGCAAAAAAGCTGAGAACACCATAATTCCCAGTCATTCGTGGTTTCTCGCTCCTAAGCTAAGCTACGGTTATTTGCTAAACTTTCGCACAGCAGCCTTATATAAAGAGAAATGCAAGTATTCTATCGCACAAATGGATGATTGAAGGTAAATTCTAAAAAAAAAAAAAAAAAAAAAAAAAAAAAAAAAAAAAAAAAAAAAA